GATTGCTTTTCAGACTGAAATTTTATACTAAATTGAACAGGCAATATACAAAATGATGAGGTTTACTCAGGCCTACTGAACTCCTACAATTGTTCTGCTAATATTTTTTTTTCCTTTTTAAATTAAATCGGTAGAGACATCAATATCAATGATAAAACAACTTTCATCCTCTTGGTTATATTTTGAGTAGCAACTAAGTACCATTCCATTCCATATTTACTTGCATGTTTAGGACATGCTAGTAATAGGGGGTAAAATCACGTGTATGTGCATTTGACTAATTAAAAAATGATGATAGATTGTGATCAGAGCTGAACTGCTTCATTCTTGGTGGTATAAGTAGTTTACTAAGCAAATTGGTAGAACAAATTGTAGGACAGATGTTTAGCCTGTTTAAGAAAACATAACTATTTTTAAAGAACTTGTATTAATACTATTGCATACACTTTACATACTAATTACAATGCTTACTTATAAAACAGGTCTCAGCTAGCTTTTAGGTTGCTTTAAAAACTCAAGAAAAATAAATTGGATTTTTTTCATAAATATTTTTAACTCAGACATTGAACCAATTCATGCTTACCTTCACCTCCATTGTTATAATTGAGGTTTCAATGATAATGTCAAGCATAAATAAGGATGACTTCTGGGTTTTAAAATTTGTTAAGAATGACAGTATCTGGATTTTTTTTTTTTTTTAAAAAAAACAAAGACATGAAACTTCCTCAAACACCAATATCTGAAATGGGAAAAATTGAGATAAATAGGGGTTTCACTACTGCCAGTATTTGTTTAGTTGTTCAAGGAACTGGCAGTAAAAACAATCTATTGTTGCATGCTAGTCCTAAATATTCCATAAGAAACTAAAAAACATTAAGGCCAAGGAAGTGTTTCTAAACTGGTGTTTCACAGGACAAAACTAAGTGAAACTTTATTTGATGGGAGAGAATGGGCAGTGGTTGGGACTTTGCACCTTGAATGAGCCAAGTTTCATAATCAGACAAGATTTTCCCCATCAGTATGTCTTAGCATATCCTCATGATGCTGTCTGTTTCCTAAAGAAACAAGATGAGACCATGACCAATGCAGCCATAGGAGGTCTATTATAAATGCCACATGGAATGTTTATTTCTCAACTTCTACAGTGGATTTTTTCCTTTCAAAAGAACCTCAGTTTTTCCCCACAAACATTCAGTGGGTGTAGTTTGAGTGTTTCAGTTAGATTTTCAGTGTTCCATTCACCTGGAGTCTCTGAAGCCTACTGCTTTGCCACAATAAATGACATGAGAAGCAGAGAAACAAGGGTAACATACGAGGATGGTCCTGCTGCATCAAATGCCCTCAAAAACACCCCGTGAAGAGGCATAGTGAGAGCTCTTTCCAATCTCAAACTCTTGCCTCCTCACTGACCCTAAATTTCAAGGCTTGCACAGAGCCCTAAGCTTAAAGCATGGCAGGCAATAGGATCTGCAGAATGTGACTTGAGGAAAGGTAGATAGATGGAAGAGTAAAATAGCCCCACCTCCTGGTTGTCTTGAAACACCGGCGCTTGCAGAGTAATTATTTGGAGCTGCTGAAGAGCAACAGCTTTGTCTCTATCCCTAGACATTCTGATCAACTACATCTGCAGATGGATCTAGGGATCTACATTTCTAACAGTTACTTCCGAATCAGGTGGTCCACGGGCCACACTTTGTAAAATGCTTCTGAGGTATAGAATGGGCAAAGTGTTAGTAGACTACATCCTCTTTATAGGCTTTATGTTCATTTGCACCAGCTGTTATCTGACCCAGCCATACTTACTAAAAAACAACCACCACCAACAAACTGAACTAAAAGCCATATAGGAAGTTATTACACATAGATCTATCAAGGTAGAAAAAAGTAACTATGGTGGAAGAGATAAGCAGAAAGCAGCCATTGGGAGGAAAGGAGACCTTTTGTGTTTAACATTTGCTAAAAAGTTGAAGGTAGAATCCAGAGGCCAATGTCAGAGTGTTAAACAATTTAGATCAGTGGTTTTCAACCTGTGGGTCGCAACCCCTTTGGTGGTCGAATAACCCTTTCACAGAGGTCGCCTAAGACCATCCTTCATATCGGATATTTACATTACGATTCATAACAGTAGCAACATTACAGTTATGAAGTAGCAACGAAAATAATTTTATGGTTGGGTCACAACATGAGGAACTGTATTTAAAGGCCCAGAAGGTTGAGAACCGCTGATTTAGATGATGTGTTATTCTAAATTAGACAACAGCAAGTTTAAAATTATACTTCTTAGTAATTTCATAATCTGAAATTTAGATTTTTTTTCTATACTAATAACAGGCTGAAAGATAGCCCTGAAGTGTAGAAAACCTCATCAATAATAGTGTCAAGCTTTGGAAAACAACAATAAGAGTGCTTCCAGCTGTAAGATTTCTAAGTGTATTAGACTCAATTTTATATATGTGTATGGAGTAACTTTTGACATTATAGTGAAGCTATATCCTGTCTGATGAGATAGATGCATTATAACAAGGTCGGCCTATCTTTTTCAGAATGTCCACCTTTAAGAAGTAAACTCCTAGTTTTCAGTTCAAAGTCAACTTTAGGAAGTGGGGTTATTTAAATTGAAAACAAAATTATTTTTGATACTTTCGCTCTTTTCATAATAAAACTGATTACCCCTTCATAATAATAATTGTGAAAAGAAACACAGTATAATAAGTAAAGAACACATTTGCTGTTTTTATTGGTGCCTTGCATGGCAGTAATACTGAAAAAAAGAGAATGCAAAAACAAAAAAACAAAAACAAAAACAGGTTGGTGGCAACCCACATCTTTTTTTTTTTAAGAGTACATAAACTCCTGTTTTATTTTTATTGTGGCATGAATGATAACATAAAACCGAAAACATGAAAATATACAACTTATATTACACTATGTGTTATGAACAAAATATAAATCTATAACTCTATGTTATATTTACATAATTATTTATTTTATTAAATTTCAAGTGAGATGGTAGGTTGCACATACTTTGTTTTAAGCTCCAGGCATTTGATTGTCTCTTTTCTACTTTTAAAAACAATTTTTACTCATAAAATCCAAAATGTTAGAAGGACTAAGAGCTTTAGAGCCAGTGGAGCTATATAAATACTGTTATAGTGAACCAGTGACAGAAACACTGGGGAGGACAGGAATCAATCAGTAGAAAACTCAACACAACATCATCTTCAACCTGGGAAACTGAGAGTTATAAGAAAATTTAAAATTAAATACTGTAAAAGCCTGTCTAAACAAAAACCTACACCCTATAAGACAAAGAGATATCTGAACCACTTTTAGTGGGCTTCATATTTTTCCTTGCAGACCCCATAGTTTTTATTTTACTATTCACTTGATAAACAAATATCTTATAAACCTGTTTGTAAATATACAGCTGTTTATTACAATTCAATAATTTACCTATTAGAATGATTGAAAATGTAATTATTTCTGACGTTTAAAAGTGATCTAAGAGATTTCTTCTGGAACAGTAACAACTTCTGGCCTAAGAAAATATCTGAAATGGGACCATGAAATACTTAAAGATAATGATCTTTAAACGAATTAAGGTAAAAGTTTACTCCAGAAATCAAATCTAGGAAATAATTTCATCAAAGAAGACTCTTATATTTGTTCCTTATAAGAGGATTTGGTTTCAATGATTATGTTCTTTGGGAGGGATTTTATACATGGTTACCTCTTCACTGCAGTTGCCAAATAAATGCTAAAAATTGACTCAACTAATTTAGGTATAAGTGTACTGAAGAGTACTTTTGTATTTTATCCAATTGTAGTAAGTAGCCAAATTGTTAGCAACTTGTAAATGAGCAACTTTAACTTATTTTTCTTCAGTAATGTTCTTTTAGATCCATATTAAAACATGACTATTTTCAGAGGAACTGATTACAACAGCCATAAAAACACACACACACACACAACAGAATTCTGGCAGGATTACTCTGTACTTGGGTAAGTGTGTGTGTGAGAGAGAGAGAGAGAGAGAGAGAGAGAGAGAGAGAGAGAGAGAGAAGTAAATGGGGAGGAAGGGAAAGAAAGGAGAGAGGAGGGAGATTATGTTCATTTTAGTTTAATCTTACTTTTATTTCCTCTACCTTATCCTTTTGGTCAACATGGGGCACAGAAAAAGAATACAAGGTTTTAAGATCCTTTAAAAAAATTTATAAACCAATCAAATGCCAGAAAGGCAATGTGTTAACACAGTATGTTGCTATTCATAGCACCTTTATCAAATGACTTCAAAGCACTTTAAACATTTATGTAATTTTTTTTTTCTTTTGGGGAAAACTAAGGCAAAGAAATGGTAACACCAGTGAGTTAGATGTCAGAACAAGAGAACATAATGCAGGGCCATGAACTTGCTTTTGTTTCAGTCATGCACAGTTTAGTCTCCGTGACATAAACGTAACTAAATAAAGTTAACTGAATTTCAGCAGGTAAAGGTCACCATTAACAATTTTCTTTTCCCTTTTAAATAAAACAAAATGAAAAACAAAAAAAGACCAAACAGAAGTGTTTTGTCAATTCCCTGGTAATGTGTGTTAGAATTGGTTTCAGCCTTGCATGCCATCGAGTGGCATCTACCTGGAGCTAAAACAAAGTATTCTTGTAGCCCGAAGTCATGAAATGAAAACCAAGTACTTGTAGAACATGGGGTAAAATAAGTATCCAGCAAATGTGAGACGTGAACCCACATAAATCAGAGAGAATTTCTTAATGAAGACAGAGAACAAATTTTTTAAAATCTGTTTTCACATTGTACATAATAACGCTATAAAAACAAGTGTCTATTTTTTCTTATCCAGAGTGCTTGAAAACAAAATGAAACAAACAAACAAAAAAATTGGCTCTAGATGACTGTGGCAATTAAATAACCAAAATGACTGATGAGAGCATAAGTTAATTAAGATTGAATGTGACCCTCCTATTAATTCACTCCTTTGTATTAAACACCAGAACTTGACATTATTGGGGCCAGATTTTTTTTTTTTTTAAAAGGAGAAAACTTGTGTAAGGAGCAGTAAAATTATCTGGGTAAATGTGTGTGCATGTGTGTGTGTGAAAATTCATTTTAAATATCTAACAGCTTATTGGCTGCACTTCCCAATCAGAGCAGAATAAAATAGAAAGGGAGAAATAAATTATACATAACTTACTAATCTGGGAACAGCTGACCATTATTATTATTATTATTACTATTATTATTATTTTTATCATCATCATCATTATTACAACACTAGCAAAAAGAGGCAGTTCAAATGAAAATACAGTCATCAAAAACAAACAGAAAAACAAACAAAACAAAATCTCTGACATGCAGGATATGATCGGCCCCTCCAAGCAAAACTCCAGAGCAAGTCTTTTGAGAGAGAGAAAAATAAAAAGGACTTCTTTTCTTAGTTATATGTAAAAATCAAATTGTAAGGTCGGGTTGGGGGGAAGTGGGGTGGGATAGGAAGGTGATGACTGGAGTTAAAATCACAGCACTTCCAAACTACTGGTTGGAGTATTTACTGTTTGATGCTTCTGCACAAATAATGGCAACTGACTTTCAATGAGTTTGCATTTATTTGCACAAGGCCCACACTGCCTTAGCATTTGGCTGGCAACACTGAAACAAGCAGTCCCGTCACCATCCATTGTTGCTCTATGCACACACTCCGCTGGAACCTTAAACTTGGACTCCAGTGGCTTCCTCTGACAGCCAGGGAAGCACAGTGGCAAGGGTCCCCAGGTTCAGCCAGGCTCCATTGTGTTGGGCTGCGATGACTTTTAATAAAATCCCGCTTTTTGCATGAGATGCGCGTGGCCCACAATTCTGAAATGCAAATGGCCTCCACCTCGTGTGTTGGAGGGATGAAAGATACCTTATAAAAAACCATCAGTTCCATTTCCTCAACAGGAGAGATGGAATTTTGAAGAAAGAAGCTAATTCTCTATTTCTGGAACATGGGCAAATGTATTCAAGGAAAACAACAATTGTGTTTGTTTGATGTTATCAACAGAAAAACAAACAGAAATAATTAAGTAGCAAACATTAGTGAAACCAACTGACCAGGGAGAAGGGACTTCTGGGAGCAGTTTGCTAGTAGCTTCCATATTATACATGCGCACGTCTATTACACAGGGCCACCTGATTCATCCAATAGTCATTATATTAGACATTTAAAAATATAATTTCTGAGCCCTATATTGGTTAAGTTGTCATTTGAAGTGCAAAGTCAAGGTCAAGGTTGCTTCCAGACCAGTCACTTAGGAGGATGTGGGATTTCATCCCCAGGTGTGGGTTTAACTCACAATGGTCCAACGTTATTCCTATTAGTACCATAATCACACACATACATACACACAAAAATCCAAGATCAGAAAATATTTTTCTCTAAATTTCTTCTCTCTCTCTCTCTCTCTCTCTCTCTCTCTCTCTCTCTCTCTCTCTCTCTCTCTTTTCACCTGAGAACAGCACCTACAGTTTCCATTTAAAAAAAAGTCAAATCTCACCAGCTGCTGGTATTTTAGGTTTTTCAAGGGATTGTCTAAGATATAACACTGTCCTAACTTAAGAAGGAACAAGAAAACGAAAAGGAAAGAAATGAACTGGGTCAACACGTCAGTACAAATTTGGCACTTGCTCAAAGATGTAGTGTGGTGTGCAATAAAGTCCTCTAAAGAAAATACATAATTGCTTATTTTGTGATGGATAGCAAGGAAGTTAAAAACAGGCTCTTTTTCCCTCTTCCCCCCCCATGCACAGACTTCCATCTTTAAAATATAGAGATGGAGAAGGTGGAAAGAAGTAAAGAGAAATTCATCTTTCTTTTTTTTCTGTCAGGTGCATTACAAAATAAAAAAAAAGGAAATAAAAGAAGAAAAAAAAAACAGAAAATGAAGGAGGAAAGGAAAAGGAACCCCCCCCCCCCCAGAAAACCCCCCAAACAAAACAAAACTTATTTCTTTTTAAAAATTGTAGCACAAAACAACAAAACACATTCACAAGCCACTTGTTGGCACTGTGTACCTGAGTGAGAATTTCTAGAACATTGTAGAACAAACAGCCATAAAGTTTATTAAAAAAAAAAAAAGTTGACGGGTAAGACTTCAGTGCTTGGATGTAGCAGCTGAATTACTGGCATTATTTTACCCATAGCTTATTTCAATCTCTTGTTGTTGATATTGTTGTTTGCTTGTTGTATATATTTTTTTCCTTTCCAAGCCTTTTGAGGCTGAGGTCTATTAGTCAGCTGATGTCCCAACTATTTAAGACTAACAGTTAAAGTAACAGTCAGTGTATGAGAAAGTTAATGTGCTTGGCCACTGGTAAGGATGAACCAGCTAGGGCTTCTTTAAGTCCTAAGGTCACGGCAATCTTTTGACCCTTATCAGTTGGCTTGTCCTGCGATATGGTTTTCACTGTCACTCCCATAATCTACATCTGGGTCATCCTCTTCCTCATCGTATTCATCATAAATTTCTCCGTTGATGTCCTCAGCCTGTATCTCCTCTTTGATATGTGGCTCCTCTCCTTTCACGCCGTAAGTGCTCTGGATGACGGGCATCCCAGGCTCGGGGCTGCTAGACATGCTTGAGTGCTCTGAGGGCAGGTGAGGGGAGGGCATCCCAGCCATGGCGATGGCTCCAGGGTACACAACACCAGCAGTAGCGATGGGGATCTGTGCTTGTTGCCTGTCAGAGAGAAATGCCCCCAAAGAGACTGTGGTGAGTGGGTAGTTACATGCAGGCCTTGCTATATCATTAATTTGCTCAGTTTGTCCAATGCTAAGGCAGTGCTTTTCTTCCTATTGCCCAACATTTAAAAGTTGTATCCTACTTTGATTCTAATGCCTTACTTCCATGTAGTGCTTTATAGATTACAAGACATATGTGTTACCCGTTGGATTTTTGAGATAAATTCTGTTTTGTTACTGTTCTAATTTATGAAAAAATTAAGAAGCAGAAAGATTAAGCAAAAGAAACCAAATTCTTGACCCCTAGTTCATTTCTTCTTCATTGCAGCATGTAGAAACATTGAAAAAAATAATTACAATTCAATTTTAATGGAAAGATCCTAAAGTATTAGAGCTCTGAAAGTAATCGATTGCCCAGAACTCACCAGAACTGAATAATATCACATTCCACCTATGCCCTGACATAGATGTAGGTGGGGGTAGGAAACAGGGCCAGTCTTATGGGAGGACAATCTCCGAAGCTACATAGGCCTCAGGGCTTAGAAAGATTCTACCCTTGTCTTAAAGGTCTGTTGTCACAGTCTTAAAATTCTTAATAATTTTTTAACTTAAATTCTTTATTGTTTAAAGTATTACGTAAGTCTCCTTTTTTCCCCATTGACCATTCCCCGGCTGCCCCCACCCCCCAGACATGCCCACCCATCCCCCCACTGCCCCTGCCCCCCGCAGTCTGTGTTCATTGGTTATGCTCAATATGCATGCATACAAGTCTTTTGGTTGATCTCTTACCCCCTCACCCCACCACCTTCCCTCATAGGTTGGACAGTCTGTTCGATGCTTCTATGACTCTCGTGCTATTTTTGCTCATCAGTTTATGTTGTTCATTATATTCCATAAATGAGTGAGATCATGTGATATTTATCTTTCTCTGACTGGCTTATTTCACTTAGCATAATGCTCTCCAGTTCCATCCATGCAGTTGCAAATGGTAAGAATTCTTAATAATTTTTTAAACAGGGACCCTGTACTTTCATTTTGCATTGGGAGCCACAAATTTTGGGCTAATCCTAGTAGAAAGGGATTAATAAATGGTGTTCAGGCGTTCTTTCATTCATTCATATGTTCATTTGTTCACTACTTCTCCAAGAAGTGTTGGGTTTCATCTGAGCTTTGCAAAGAGCCATGCACTGGTGTATAAACCAAAGAACCCAGACAGAGCATGATGATCCTTTCAAAGGAATGGAGGGGGTGGGGCATATTTGAAAAGGTTTTATCTAAGGTATCCTCTGACCACTTTCATTACAGTATTCATTCTAAAAAGCTCTTGGTGTCTTACTTATTTCTGTTCCAAATATGAGCAACTTTATTTCTGTATTTTTTGAGAAAATTCTGCAGAACTGATGCAGTTGCAGGTAGCTTATTATGGGGTGCTCAACAGCATTGTTGTAGGAAAAGATAAAACATCCCAAGAGCTGCTTTTTAAAAAATTGTTGACTCTAGCCCAGCTGGTGTGGCTCAGTGGTTGAGCATCAACCTATGAACCAGGAGGTTACAGTTTGATTCCCGGTCAGGGCACACACCTGGGTTGTGGGCTTGATCCCCAGTGGGGGGCATGCAGGAGGCAGCCAATCAATGATTCTCTCTCATCACTGATGTTTCGCTCTCTTTCTCTCCCTCTCCCTTCCTCTCTGAAATCAATAAAAAATATTTTTAAAAAATTGTTGACTCTATTACTGATGTCCCCAGTTTCCTCCCCCTTTGCCTCGCCCTCCTCCAGGCCTTCACCACATTATTGTCTGTGTCCCTGGGTTATGAGAGCTGCATTCTTCATATATACTGATTTCAGAGAAAGGGAGAGGGAGAGAGCAAAACATCAATGAGAGAGAAACATAAACTGGCTGCCTTCTACACACCCCCTACTGAGGACTACTGAGGATGAAGCTGGAAACCTGGGTATGTGCCCTGACCAGGAATTGAACCAGCGACCTCCTGGTGCATGGGAGGACGCTCAACCATCTGAGCCACACAGACCAGGCGAGAGCTGCACTCTTAATTCAGAAGAGACCTTTCTCATTTACACCTGGTTGCGCCCAAAATAGAGTCCCTAATTTGTGTGCCCTACAAAGACCACTGTATGTGCCTTGATCACCCAGAAACCTCTCTAAACCCAGAAACCAGTGTTTCTTCCTTTTCAAATCATTTTTAGGTTGTATTCTCTCAACAAAATTGTTACTTGTGGTGGCATTTCTCTCTGCGAAGCCTTGGAAGTAATGAAAACCAACGAGGAAAAGAACCAGCGATACTTCTGAGTTTTGAAGAGCAAACTTCAAAATCATTTACTTTCAGATATTAGATTTTCAAACCAGCCGTTTCCCAAGCTCATGTTAGAGCCAGTGTTCCAGGAGCCTGGAGTGAACTGACAGGGACGGATGCTCTTCCAGGGTCCTGTGGGGGAGGGTTTCCTCTCTGAAAAGACACGGTGCTCAGGTTCTTTTCCAACCTCCCGCTTCGCCACCTAAACCCACGCCTCCCATCCCATTCAATAGAACGGGAGTGTTTTCTAGAAAAACACCACGGAACGGTCCATACCCAACGTTGAAGTATTGCCGCATCTCCTGCCGCCGGTTCCGCATGATCGCCTTGTATTCCCCGATGCGCAGCTTTTTGCCGTCCACCAGGCAGGTGCGCTTCGGCCTGGGCTTGTATTTGTAGTCGGGGTACTTCTCCAGGTGCTGCTTGCTGAGGCGGGCTTGCTCCTCATAATATGGCTGTTTCTCTAGGTTTGTCATAGCTTTCCAGCGAGACCCTATGGGGAAAAGAAGGTTAGGGTTCCGATTTGCACAGCTGCCGAGGATCCTAAAGAGACACACCTGGGCACAAGAACATCTAAAGTAAAAATGTTGGCCCAAATCCAGAAGTCCATAATCATGTTTTTGATTCGTGAGCTTTGACTCAAGAGGTGAGATTCCACCAGGATGGAGGTGTTAGGGGTTCTGTCCTCCAAGAAGCTGTGCACCCAAAGGTCCAAACGCTGGGCAATAGATGTACTTTTTTCTGGCACGAATGACCAAGTTAGCCAAACTGGTCCGGTATGTACTTAACAGCTTATAGGTAATTTAATGGATATATCTTTCGTTTCTACGTTAGACCATGATAGAATTCAAGTGTGAACTAAAAAGTTATGCAAAAACTCATTACATATTTTGAATCTGAGGTTAATTATCTAGTTTTGAATATTTTTTTAAAATTTTTTTATTGATTTTTTTTCAGAGAAGAAGGGACAGGGATAGAGTGTTAGGAACATCAATGTGAGAGAAACATCGATCAGCTCCTTCCTGCACACCCCCTACTGGAGATGTGCCCACAACCAGGGTACATGCCCTTGACCGGAATTGAACCTGGGCCCCTTCAGTCCGCAGGCCCATTGCTCTATCCACTGAGCCAAACCGGTTACAGCTAGTTTTGAATATTTTTATGTAGGGGTGTATTACTACAAAGGTTTCTTGCCGGAATCCGGTCCATCCTTGCTGCTTGACACAGTCGCTGCAGGGAAGAAACATCTGCACAGCATATGTTTCAAGGGACCTGGCATATATGGCATACTGTTCTTATTATGTTTGCTCCCCTTCTTGGCACTATGTGTTTTAACCAAGGTCACCTCTCCGAGAAAGGTTGTTTCCCCAGGTAGGGATTTTTCCCTGAAGTTAGAGAGGGAATAAAACCCCTTAACTAAGTGCCAGGCGGGTAGTTAATCACTTTAACTACGAACAATCACACTTAAGCTACATAATCTTTACTCCCTGGAATGGAGATAAGAAACGCCCTAACCTTTGGAATAGAAATTGATAGGATTAAAATCAACTGGTATAAATACAGATGTAACAAGACAATAAAACACAGAACCTGGCTAGAGAACCTGGCTAGACTGCTGATCAGCTGAACGCTGTCTCCGTGTCATTCCTTCTTCACCGACTCTGTCCATACCTTTGGGAACCACTGAACCTGCTGGGGTTGGATCCCAACAGTTTCTAATGTTTATTATATATAATTGTCATTCTTTCAAAATGTTTACATATATTTACAAGAATAATTATAGTTTAATAGTTCATTTTATTACAATTTTAATTATAAAATATTATATTAATGAACATGCACTGTTTACTGTGTGCTAGAGACTGTGCTAAAATTTTAGATAAATTGTTTCATTTTTATTTTTCACCACAATTCTATAAGATAGATAGCTTTTACACCTACTTTCATAGGTTGAGAAAATTGAAGTTCAGGTAGATGAAGTAACTTACTCAAGGCCACACAACTATTAAATTGCAGATTTGTGACTCAACGTCAGGTTTGATGGAATTGAAAGTATGCAACAATGTATGTCTTTACATACCTATACCCACCTACTAAATATGATCTAGCAGAGGTCAGAATTACATTAAGAAGTAAGGAAGACATTTAATAAAACACTTTCAATAATATATAGAGATGTTACTTCCTATGATATAGTATGCATTGCTAATATTAACCCAAATTGATTTCCCCTTCATTTTCACTTTTAATTTTGTTTTGTATTCAACTAGGAATGCAAAAACAACTCTTGAAGCTTAATTACAAATAGTTTATGCTAATTCTCAATAGAGATAAAATTTAAAGCTTAGCTGCTTATCAGTATGGCTATGTGAAGTACTAAAAGGAGTTGTAGGAATAATGTTTATTTTTTATTGAACATGTGAAAAAAATCTATTTTCAGATGGAGTGTGCTTATCTGCAAAAAGTCAGCTCAACCCTTTCCAAATGCAAAAAGATCCAAATAACCAGAATTAGGAGATCCCTACCCAATTCGTATGGGCACTGCTGCTTTTACTTGCCTTCCGGAGTCACCTAAGCAAGATCTTAAAAGCTTTCAAATGGGTTCATTACTCAGACATAACTCCACATCTCAAATGCAAATAGCTCCTGATGAATAGTTCTTGCAGGGAATTCCCCAACCTGGGCTGTTAACTGTCTTAAAGGAACACAAGGGAAGGGGCAATAGCTCTTCCTTTAGAATTGTTTCCTAAACAATTTGTAACAGGTGTTCCAAAGGTTTATAAACAAATTTTTCCAATCTAGGCAGTCAATATTATTTTATTCTATTTACAACAGAAACAAGGTTACAGTTCAAACAATAGAATTTATTTTTCCATTCCTTTATCAAACTTGTGTGTAATTAGCAGTGTCCAACATTGTTAGTTATAGGTTCAGGCTCAGATTCCTTATTGCCCAACATTACTCTCAAGTACTTGAAAACCATTATGTTGTTCTCGTGGCAAATAAATACACAAATAAAACTATAACACCATTGAACTAGGGATCAATTCTTTTTGTGGAGTTTCTTGTAAGTATGTACAGTATACCAGAATTTTGGATTTCATATCAGGGACTGAAAAAATGAGCTGAGCAAAATAAACTTACTGAATAATTATAGGAATACACTACAAAATGGGTCAAGAATGGTTGACTTATAATTCACTGGCTACCTTTATCACCAACCCACAGAACAACAACAACAACAAAATAGCATTTTCATTTTGAATAGAATGGCCAATGATTCTTCCCAAAGTCGGAATATTATATAAGTTTGAAAAGAATACGTTTCTCTAAGGAAAGGAACTGTTTCTGCCTCATAGTAACCTGCCTTGGTATGTGAAAACTTTTTTTAGATTTCCCACTCCGTGCATGATACTGTATTAATTACTGACTATGCATTGGTGAATTATTAGTGGGTCTTCTTTTCTTGCAGGGGAGAAAAATATCTTAAACATCTAATTATACAATTTATTATTTTAATTCTAGTTAAGGAAAGTACAGGAAGCTGTAAGAACATATGGTAAAGAGGTGGAATCAGTCTTCTGTAGGTGAGGAAGGCTCTGCTGCAGAAGTGACTCCGATAGGTATCAGAGAGAGAAGAGCATCCTATGGGGGAAGAATGGGATTGGTCAAGGCCTTGCAGTAGGAAGGGGGATTAGAGGAACTTAAAGAAAGTTGGGTATGGCTAAAATGCATGCAGAGAAAGAGTATATATATATATATATATATATATATATATATATATATATATATTACAGCTATGTATAATGAAAGAGAAATTAATTTTCAGAGAAGTTGGCTTCTAAATCTGGCATGACCCAGAATCACACAATATTTAGACATTTACTAGCATAATTTCTCTGGAGTTATCGCTAAATACTAAGATACATTTTAAAATTTTACCATAGCATAGTTACCAGTCCTTTTAAAATTAAAAATTAAGAGAGTTTAATAATTTTCCAAGTAAAGGTCTTTTATTTCCTAGACATTTACATTTTTTATGCAATTACAAATGGGACTGTTTTCATAGTTTCCCTTTCTGATAGTTCATTATTGGTGTATTTAAAAAAGATAGCACCCTGGCTGCTGTTGCTATATGGTCATCAGGTCATGGGTTTGATTCCCAGTCAAAGGCACATATCTGGGTTGAGGGCTTGCTCCCCACCCCCAGTCCGGGGTGTGCGGGAGGCAACCAGTTGCTGTGTTTCTCTCACATCGATGTTTCTCTCTCTCTCTCCCCCACTTCCTCCCTCCCTTCCATTCTCTCTGAAAAGCAATGAAAAAATATCCTCAGGATTAACAACAACAACAAAAAAGACAGTTTAAGCACTGACTGGGGTAAAAGGCTAACTCTTCCATTTACTACAGGGTACAACAGTGTTTTAGTTTGGTAGCAAATGCCATTTTTATTTTTTAGTGGTAAGTTCTGAATAGGGTTAACCACATGACAAGGTAGGTTTTGGTTTCAATGGCTTTGCAGGTACAACCCCTGTATGGAGCTGCGGCATGAACCCCTGAAACCCACTCGATGATAATGGCAGGAAAGCGTTTCCTCTGTTTCCAAACACATGGCAACATCAACTTGATTTGGGTGTGGCTGGTTGCTTACCCTGGACCATGTACAGGGAGTAAGTTCCCTATTTTATCAGAAGACTGGCCTTTTGCAATTCAAAACAGAGAAGGACATGTGGGTATTCCTTCTGATGACAAAGAGGAAGATTCAATAAAAAATGTTTGATGTTCAAAATAAAAGAGAAAAAAAAAACGGTCTCGAAAGTGCTTCTTTCCTGTCCAAATCCAGCAGTACAATAAAAATGAAGAGTTTGAGCTGAGCAACGTTCTCATCTCCGTGGAGTCTGTAATGAATTTGCACGTTTTACTCCAACTACTGTATATCTAATCGGAAAAAGATGTCCCCCATTCCCTGATCTAGTGCCAAACAGTAAAAGGTGATTCCTTATGTTAACAATTTCAGCAGAATGGCTTATTAAAACCAGATTTTAGGGTATTATAAAATGCTTAGAAGCCCTTTAAAATGTCAACTAGGATCCCTAGAGACTACGTAAAATGTCAACCCAGCTCAAGCGCCTGTTTTAAGCAGAATGAATTAGCGGCATGCTGTCGGAGGCTGTTATCCAAAACAATCAGCAAAAAGGAAAACATCAAGCTTTCTTTGTACTTTTATATGAAATGGGCCATTCAGAATAATCTTGTGGATATTTAAAGATCACTCATTTATTTGAAGCTACGACTAAATATTGAGGTCCCAAACACCTCAGTGTTTCTTTTTCCTGTTGTATCTTTAATTAAAACAATTTCTTAATTTAGTCTGAAATTAGGTAGCACTCTCTTTCATGTAGTCTGTTATAATATATTCATGTGGTTATTGTAATGGTCTTTCCTTTTAACTAGAAAGGAATTCTTTTAGCTAGTCATCTTTTTCCCATAAAAGCTTTTGCTAAAATTTCCTAAAATACTTTACGTCAAAACTGATATTTCTCTTATACTTAACATAAAGTTTTAATCAGTGATTATCACCTTTTAGTATTCAGACATATGAGTTGATGAATATAAAGCCAATTTAAACAATCTTAGTACTTAGTAGGTTTTACTTTTACAGTTTGGGTTTTCTAATTTGAAAATGACTGATATATTAAAATATGAAAAATGGTTACATAAAGCATTTTATTCTTTTCTAGAGTTTTCTAAATAAAACAGGTATAGTGTTTTTTAAAGAATGAAAAATTCCATGTGGAAGGTAGAAGACAGTCATAAAAAGGAAAAATAGATCAGAGATGTTAAGAGATGCAAAAGCGTGTGCATTTCCTTTTGATCAGTTTCTCTCTCTCTCTCTCTCTCTCTCTCTCTCTCTCTCTCTCTCTCTCTCTCTCTCTCTCTCTCTCTCTCTCTCTCTCTCGTTAATTCTCACCCCAGGATATTTTTCCATTGACTTTTTAGAGAGAGTGGAAGTGAGGGGGAGAGACGGAGAGAGAGAAACATTGACTTGAGAGAGACTCATTGACTGATTGCCGCCTACAGGCACCCCGACCAGGGCCAGAAACCCTTCAGTCCCTTGGCCGATGAGCCAAACCAGCTAGGGTTTGATAAGTTCCGTTTTTGTATTACACATAGATATATTCACATTTTCTACATACAAGCTTCATATTCCTTTTATAATAACATTCATTTAAAAATCTCAATCATTTTAGAGGAAAACTGAGACAGAAGTTTAAGTATTTTGTATTTTTTTAATTTTATTTTTCAAGTATAGTTTATAGTTAATATTATTTTATATTAGTTTCAAGTGTATAGCACAGTGGTCAGTCATAACTTTGCAAAGTGTTTCCCCAATATTTCCAGTACCCACCTGGCACCATGTCTAGTCATTACAATATTATCGATTGTATTCCCTACGCTGTATTTTACATCCTTGTGATTATTTTGTAACTACTAATTTATACTTCGAATCCCTTCACCTTTTCCACCCAGTCACCCAAACCCCTCTAAGGCTTAGAGGAAAACAATTTCTTTCATATGAGCCAATTTTTTGCTTCTTTTGCATATGGGATTTTAAGTGTGGGCCAAAGTTCACATATAAATATAAATAGGTTAATAAAGAGAACAAGAGGAGAAGTAGAAAAAAAAATAAAACATGAAAATATCAAAATTATTATTAATACATCATAAAAAAGAAACCTTTTTCCTAGTCTTAGTACAAATATTTCTAGATTTTTAAAGAAGAGACAATATTACAATTAATATAGAGACACACAACTAAATTAGCTGTAGTAATGGGGCACATATCTCAACAAACACAAACTGTTCCACCATCAGAAGAAAAGGCTCAATGATGGTACTTATTTTCAGACTAGAGGCCTGGTGCATGAAATGTGTACACGGGTAAGTCCCTAGGCCTGACCAGTGATCAAGGCCAATCAGGTTCCCTGCCTCCCGGCCTTCCTGCCTCCTCCTTCCCTTGCTGCCTGCACATGCTTCTGCTGCAACTGGTCGCCCGGCATGTTCCACGCCACCCCCTGGTGGTCAGCACACATCATAGCGAGCGATCAAACTACTGGTCTCTGGTGGAACTCCCGAGGGGACAATTTGCATAATTAGCCTTTTATTATATAGGACTAGAGGCCCGGTGCACAAAAATTTGTGCTCTCGGGGGGGGGGGGGGGGTCCCTCAGCCCGGCCTGTGCCCTCTCGCAGTCTGGGACCCCTCGGGAAATAACGACCTGCTGGCTTAGGCCTGCTTCCGGGTGGCAGAGGGCAGGCCCAATCCCTAGGTGCAGCCCCTGGTCGGGCTCAGAGCAGGGCCGATTGGGGAGTTGGGGCGCCTCCCCCTGTCATGCACAGAGCAGGGCGGATTGGGAGGTTGTGATGCCACCCTCAGTCCCGCTCAGGGTAGGGCCGATTGGGGGGTTGGGGCGCCGCCACTCTCACACTCAGGGCAGGGCCGATGGAGAGGTTATGGCTCTACCCCATCACTCACAGAGCAGGGCCCATCAGGGGGGTTGGGACTCTGTACTCTGTCACGCACAGAGCAGGGCCCATCAGGGGGTTGGGGCGCCACCCTCTATCACCCACAGAGCAGGGCCGATCAGGGGGGTGGGGCGCCGCCACTCTCACACTCAGGGCAGGGCCGATGGAGAGGTTATGGCTCTACCCCATCACACACAGAGCAGGGCCCGTGTGTGTGTGTGTGTGGGGGGGGGGTTGGGGCGCCACACCCTGTCACACACAAAGCCGGGCTGATCAGGGGGTTGGGGCGCCGCACCCTGTCACACACAGAGCCACAGGGCAATCAGGGGGTTGGAGAACTCCACGCTATCAGGCAAAGAGCAGGGCTGATCAGGGTGTTTGGGCACTGCCCCTTGTCACGCTGATCCCGGTGCCGGGAGGCCTCACAGCTCCACTGATCCTGGTGCTGGGAGGCATATTACCCTTTTACTATATAGGATAGAGGCCTGGTGCATGGGTGGGTGCCAGCTGGTTTGCCCTGAAGGGTGTCCTGGATCAGGGTGGGGGTCCCCACTGGGGTGCCTGGCCAGCCTAGGTGAGGGGATGATGGCTGTTTGCAGCTGGTCATACACCCTTCAGGGTAGGGGTCCCCACTGGGGTGCCTGGCCAGTCTGTGTGAGGGGCTGAGGGCTGTTTTCAGGCTGGGGGTGACTGAAGCTCCCAACCGTTCCTTTTTTTCTTTCTTTTTTTTTTTTTTTTTTTATTCTGGGCCAGCTTTAGCTTTGAGGCTTGGATCCAGCTCTTAGGCCTCCACTGCTGAAGGTAGGTTTCTGGCCTTTGCTTACAATGTTGCGATTCTGCTGGCTGAAGCCCGGCGGTCTAAAGCAGGTTTCTGGGGTTTTGTTTAGCTTCTATATTTGTTACATAGTTGCTTAGAGTTGCAGCTCAGAGGCCTGCAGCGGTAGGCGGGGAACGCTGGAGTCCTCCGTCACTGAAGCAAGCAAGCCTCATGTTAGTTTCAAGCTGCCTGGCTGCCGGCTGCCATCTTGGCTGACAGTTAATTTGCATATTTCCCTGATTAGCCAATGGGAAGGGTAGTGGTCGTACGCCAATTACCATGTTTCTCTTTTATTAGATAGGATAAGCAGATAACATGAGCTGGCTGGCCTCCAAACCCCATATCTTTCAACAAGCCCAGAAAACAGAACTGTACATTTAATCCATAAATCACTTAATCTTTCATGCTTTTCTTACCCAATATCTTGCTGATGTTGGAGTTGTGCATGTCGGGAAAGGCTTGAAGGATTTTCCTTCGTTCATCTTTAGCCCACACCATGAAGGCATTCATTGGACGCTTTATGTGGGGTTCATTGCTACCACGCCCTCTAGATTCTCTATAAATTCTTGATTCTGAGACTCCAGCACTTCCTAAAAATAGGACACATTGTTTCTCATTAGTGTGAAAAGTTTTGACATTTCTGTTCCTTACACTACTGTTTTTCAGACTATTAAAATATCTGCAAATAAAAAGTACATGTGATAATGGTACTTCCAGTTCTTGAGACAGATGCTTGTTTATGAAGTTTTTGTGATTAGCCTTGTGGTGGCAAATGCTGTATTTGTGTTTTTAATCCACTTATATTTCCTTTTCTTACAATGGTGGATTATTTCACCATTTACTTTCAAGAGCACACAAGAAACTTGAATATGGGATCTTTGATTGATGCAAGTTGGACAGAGAATAGTTGAATTAGGTTAATAGACATGCAAGTACTATAGAAATATTAGATAGGTGAAAAAGCTAAAAAATTGTGAAACACTAATATGTTTGACAGATTGGATAAGTACGGGCAAGTATGTGTCTCTGCTACCTAAGGACTATCAGAACAGCGTATGCATGCCCCTTTCCTCTCTCTGAGGTTATATAAATAAAAATGCTGCTAGATCAAATTTTGAGGTTAAACTACAATATAGACATTCTCCTATAGTGTTTCTGGCTTTTCTTTAAAATTATGTGCTAATAATAAATGCATAAAATATTCTGATGCAGCAATGATAGTCTGCTTCCCAAAAAGATATTTGAAAAAATACAGAAAAAAGACAAATAGCTACATTACTATGGTTTCTTACCAAGTCAACAGCCACCTATTTAAGGTGGAAAAAAAAAAAGTTCCTTCTCTTTTATTTTGCCCCTAATGTCTGCCTAAGTTATCCAGAGACCCATTGACAGTTACATTCCAATCAGCAAGACTCCTGATGATAAAACACGACCAAGAGTCACAGTGGAACCTTAGGGAGCTGCCATCTCTCCTCTAGGCTTTATGTGACTTTGTAGAATAGCTTCAGCAGATTAAAGAGCTTCCAGAGGTTCTTGAGTTTAGGCAAAAAGAAAAAAGAAAAAGAGAAAGGAGAGAGAGAGAGAGAGAGAGAGAGAGAGAGAGAGAGAGAGAGAGAGAGAAACTGAACACATGGAACTCTGACACCAAGTTTTCCAGGGCTATCATTACAAAATATGGAAGAGAGCGAGATTGGTACCATACAAAATTTTAAAATAATTTGAGATTTTTAGAGCATATAGTACTGATAAAAGCAGTTTCCCCCTTCTCCAGCATATTCTTCCTTTCTCTTCTTAATTTGAAGGAATAGGAGTCAACCAAAATTACATACACTTGAAGACCTATATAACAGCAAACCAAAAAACACAGCATATCATTATTTCTCATTCATTATATGCTCTTCGGTCTCATGAAGATTGGGAAATACTTTGCATACAAGCATGACTGAATTAAACAAACAACAGTAACAAAATTTTGCTGTTTTAATGTCTGTTATCTTTCATATACTTTATCATGCTAATATAACTTAAAATTTATGAAATGTGGTATACCAGTAATTGTTTTTTTATTGACAAAAATGAGTGCTAATATATGGCAACATCTTTCTAAAGCGAGTTTGTAACTAGCAAATAATCATTTGCACATCTGCTTTTTCCTGTTCTTACACCTTACAGCAACATAAGCAGTAAAGTGAATGTTCTGTGACTTCATCAGAGCTAAACAAGCTCTTTGTATGTACTTAGGCCAGGTTTATCTTATCCAAGCAAAGTAGAAAATAGAAGGAAATGTTTGGCTATAATAGACCAGTAAAACAGACTTTTCTTAGATAGCCAATAGAATAAAATTCGGTTTTGACATAATTATCTGGTTGAATTCTCAAGTTTGGCTAGTCCCTTGGCCAGTGAATTGGACTTAAAAGCAGAATTGGCCCAAGGCACAAATAGGCACTTGTGTGTTTTGGGAGATCCAAGTGAGCTCCTCTGTCCTAAAGTATGTTTTGCCTTGGTGCAGGCTTTCCTATAAGCGGGCAACTTCCTCTGCAGCAAATAATAAATGTGCGGACAGTGCTCTTCCAATGCATACATGTCACCTGACACTGGAGAGACCTTTCCAGTTGGGGCTCAGCGTAAGAGGAATAAGAGCAGTTGCTTCTTTTTCCCTCTTTGCTGTGCTATTAAAAGTGGACCATCAGCTTAATTAGTTGTCACTGTGGATGTTTAGAATATTCAGAGATGATGCAGACAACAGAAGTCTCGAGGCATGTGAGGAAGGCCAGAGGCTGGTAGCTGGAGTTCTACTCGGTTACAGATTAGGCAGGGCATGTCAATGTATGGTAGATAACGGAAGAGGGAAAGGTTCCAAAATGCAAGAAACCATCACAAAAATGTCCTCTGAACCATGTATTCTGGTCAGGGGTTGACAAATGAAAACTGGAAAATGAGCTTATAGATGCAAATTTCTGAAAAGCTTGTTTCAGGTATAAGAAATAAGGAAGCGAGAGACAGGGTAGATGACGATTAAGAATATTTGCTTGGAATCATTTCATCTTGAATCTAAGACCTGCCCCTGGCACTTACAGCCCTAGAACCTTGGGAAAAATTATTCAAATTCCCTAAGGGCCAATCTCTTTATCTGTAATCATATTTATCTCACAGGTTGTGCCAGGGATCCATGCAAAGCGCTCAGCAGAGTGCTGGGCACATGGGGGCTACTCAGTACATGAGCTCCTATTATAATGGTATACTTTTTAGTAGTTGTAATTGTACTAAATAGACACTTCTGCCCGCTATTGGAATACATATCAAATCTTTACAAACCATCCGAATCTCCACTCATATTAAAATCCATCATGGAATGGCTAAATTTTCCTTCTTCATTCTGTTTAACTGCTAGTTGCTGAGTCAGACTCTCCAGTGTTGTTTTTTCCTAAAACAAACAAACAAACAAACAAACAAAAACAAATACATAGTGAGAGTTCAGTCTGAAAATGATAAATATTCAAAGACTTTTTTTTCTTGGGCTATAGATAATACATCGGCTTTTGGAAGGGATAGGATGTTGATTTATTCACCTTTGTACATTCAGCACATTATGTAGTTGAAGCAAATGATCAGCAGGATTTTTGAATAAATTCTTCTTATTCTTAGAATCCCCTTTACAGTCTTGGTATTTGGACTTGTTATGCCCAGAAGATAAATTCTGGGATTCTTGGAGATAACCTTCCCAAATCACAACATGTACATAGATATGCCATGAAAGCAACCTGTATTGTAACATTTGAAATGCCTGCCTTATTTTTAGACCAACAGTAGAAGTATAGAAGTGGCATGGGACCCAGAGACAGTCTTCTAATAGTCAGGTGACCAACAGATAGAAGCATAATTCACAGTAGTGCCCTCTGGTTGCCATCTCCTTAAATGCCATCTGCATTCCTCATGCAAGAGGAATGAGGACATTTAAATATTCATTGCTAATTGCTTGTCAAGGCTCCATACATTCAATGTGAGTGCCTGCTACTTGGACCACAATTTGGTGTGGATTGCTAAGCCAAAATATTGAGCTGGAGAATTATTTGAACTACAAATATACCAAAATTAGATCTGTAAGGAAATCAAATAATTTAAAAGCATGCAGTGCATGATTTGAATTCATGGAGAACATGCCATTACTAACAAAATTATTTTCAAGGAAAATATAATGCTTAATCTAAACCACAAGAGATATTAAACCACTTCCAAATTAACTGAGTGAGTTTAAGAACAGAAAAAGCATACAACAAAAACTTTACACCTTTCTCTAGCACTCTCCATCACTGCTCTGAGGACAATGTGGTTCCAAAACAGTTTTAAGAAAAGCATCTGTTGGATTTCATAAAATGTGCTCATGTTTCTTTATAATTATTCACCTTGCTTTCTGAGAAACACAAACATGAATTGAACAAGTGAACCACATACACTGCGGAACAGCTACTGAAAAAATAAATCTTCACAGGAAATAATCAACTATTTAAGATAATTGTATTACAGGTAAAGGCCCAGGTAATGTTCCCACCAAGAGACAAAGGGTTTTGAAATTAATACAGTACATGCTTTATCTCTATACAATCTCTGACAGTATTACCATTGTACATACTAGATTAAAAATTTTCTTAATTTAGTGGCCTTGTAACTTCTATTCTCTATTTGTCAAATTCTGTATATGATTTAGTAGAAAAAATATTTTTAATTGTAAATTATTATAAAACTAGAGGTTCAGTGCATAAAATTGGTGCACTGGCAGGGAAGAGAGGGTGCGGTTCCCTCAGCCTGGCCTGAACCCTCTCGCAGTCCAGGGCCCCTCAGGGGATATAGCAGTGTGCCAAACAGCAGGTGGGCACTGCTCGCATTCATCCGGCCTGCTACGCCTGCCACAGAGTCAGGAGAGGCTCCCGCCATGGGAGCTACACTCACCAGCTGTGAGCCCAGCTTCTGGCTCAGCAGTGCTCCCCCTCTGGGAGCACACTGACCACCAGGGGGCAGCTCCTGCATTGAGCGTCTTCCCCTTGGTGGTCAGTGTGTGCCATAGTGACTGGTCATTCCAGTTGTTCGCTCCTAATGGTCATTTAGGCTTTTATATATAGAAATTACACTTTGATTGGTTGAACGGACGACTGGTCAATCTGACACTTAGCATATTAGGCTTTTATTATATAGGATACAGTAGGGAAACTAGGAATAAAATAATTCTATCAACTTTAGTTCTATAGGGTTATCTAGTGCTAACACTGAAATACATTATCAACTTAAAAATGCAGAACCTGTCCCAATTTGTTTTGTGTGTATAGTTGGTATTTCAACTGTTTTATATGTTCTGGGTTTCTTTTGCTGAGAGTCTTCTGTTTATGTTCAGCTGAGCTCAGGAGCACCAAGGACACCAGCTTGACAGACTCTCATTATATAAGTGTAGTTGTTAAAGTACGAGACAGTTATGTAAAACACAACAACACCTTGCATCAACATCATAGGATAGTCCCCAGGCCCATGAAGACTACTGTACTATCTTTGGGAATGTACTGGGCCTGGATCACCTCTCAGGTTTTGATTTAACAGTGTATATGACAATTGTGCTACATATTTTCTTTTCTTTTTTTTTTTTTAAAGATTTTTTATTGATTTCAGAGAGGAAGGGAGAGGGAGAGAGACATAGAAACATCAATGATGAGAGAGAATCATTGATCAGCTACCTCCTGCATGCCCCCTACTGAGGATCAAACCTGCAACCTGGGCATGAGCTCTGACCAGGAATTGAACTGTGACCTCCTGGTTCATAGGTCGATGCTCAACCACTGAGCCATACTGGTTGGGCTGCTACATATTTTCTAGAGAGTTTTCCATTCTGAAGTAAAGTCTTTCAAGAAGAGAAACCAAAATGAAGCTGATCAGAGTAGAAAAAAAAAAAAGGTTAAGTGACTTTTAAGGTTCTGAGTTCAGCTGTGTGGATCTTGTACCATCTTACCAAGAGGCTAAAATTAGTAAATGATGAGTGAATAGGAAAGTCACAACCAGTTTTTATAGTAAGTGACTTCTAATTATCTACCTCTCAAGCACATAGTATATATAAAAAATGACTCAATTAGTTACTCGTAAGTGGAATTTATAATACTTCTCAAGAGGATGTTAGTGGGAGAGAGTGGAAGTTAACATGGTAGGAGCCACTTTTTGTGTGTGACCCTTTGCCCAGTCATAGACAGGTGACTGGAGGAATTGGAGAATGTGTGGAGTGCCTTTAATTCAAATACCTTACAACAGCATGTAAGTCAAAATGGTAACATTGCCACATTTTAGAAACCCTCTCTGACAAGAAATTCAGAATACCTTAAAAGAACTGAGGTAAGGAGGATATAATACAACCCAAGTGATTATATGTTAAATATATGGTACATACAAATTTAGTGCTTACATGATAGTTCTTACGTAATTCCATATAAAAATTAATACTGTAGTAAAAGTTTATATATTTAGTTCTTATGTATAGAGATAGACATAAATCTACATGTGGCTAGAAGTCTAGATAATATACTGAACCACCAAAAAAATGAGATTGATTTAAGAATAGTTCTCAAAGTTTAAATTCAATCTATTTAGGCATGTAGGAGAAGGAAGTATCAGAAAAATGTTATAAAGCATACATGCTAATACATTGGGAAGATTCCTCTCATTTTACTTCTTCCAATCCTACACATCCCGGGCTGTCTCTTTCACAAGTGTCTACTATGTACTACCATGTCTCAAAACTCGACCACTTGAGATTCTGTTCCTAGGGTTAAATCATTCCCATTCCAAAAGCCTCTATTCAAGTGTGCATATATTACTGAAAATGGTAAAATTTCTAGTCTCAAAGTTCTTATAATCAAATCAGTTCTTTCTAAACTGAAGCTGCTGAAAACAAATGAGGTAGGAAGGGAGTAAATAGGAAGATGCTGAGAATGGGAACCATCGAATAAATTGAGTTTGGGGAAACAGAAAAAAATGTTGATGAACAGAGGTGACAATTTTTATCATATTCATTTTCTTAGTTCCAACAGGCTCCAATAAAACCACACTAACCAATAATTTGTACAAATAAGGAGCACTCCATGCCCCCACTTTAAGATCAGTGTTCTGGAACACAGATCTAGTTATACTTTACTGCTATCTTACTACTATCCAAGCACTGATCTGAAACTGACAAGGTAGCTTCATTCTTTGTTATCTTTTTTCTATTATTTATATAACAAATATTAAAGAAAAACAAACACATATCCTATATAATAAAATCCTAATATGCAAATTAACCAAACGGTGGAATGACCAGTGGAATGACCAGTTGCTATGACGTGCACTGAGCTTCCCCCAGCCCATAGGCCCCAGGCCAGCCAAGGCAGATGCCAGCGGGCCTCCCCCCCCCACCCCCCGCCATCTACCCGCCGGTCACCCTACAGAGGGAGGCGACTGGCGGCAGCTGCAGGGGGTAGGGCTGGCAAGCAGGTGGTGCCAGGCTGGCCAAGGCGGGTGCCAGTGGGGGCTCCCCAATCGCCCCGCCAGTTGCCCCACAGGTCAGCCCTGATCCCCGGGCAGGGCAGGCCTAGGGGCCCTACCCGTGCATGAGTTTTGTGCACTGGGCTTCTAGTAAGAAATACTTGCTAAAATTCTACACTGAACTAAGTAATTTCAGAGTAGAGGGTGCAAGCAGATTTATTACTAAAAAGTAGTAAAAATGAAATAGTCTTGAGGATTTATAAATTAAGACCAAAAAAGATGACCTGTATGCTTTCTCTCTTGCATGAAAATGAGCAATTGGATAACAACTAGATTTCCTTTGGAAAGATGATTCTTATGTGGCCGATTAAATTTTATACAACTATGTAGGTTTACTAAGGTGGGAAACATTAGGTAGTCTGATTTTACTTGAAAAAGCTTATAATCCCATTTTGTACCTCTCACAGAAGAAAAGAATGTTTTAGACTATATAGCTTCTTGGGGTCAAATGCATAACTCTAAAAGTCAACACTCAAAGAACTATTATCAATGTGTTAATATTCACTTAGAAAATTTGGCAGCTGGTCTTGGGTCCTGTGGCTTATCCAATGACTTGCAAAATGGAAAACAGCACATGTATTGTTTGCATGTGACACCAGGCTATTGTGGAAATCAACAAGGAGAGCCATTAAACATCTAAAGAAATGTGGTCAGTGAGTTGATTAGAAGTGGTCAGTGAAGAGCTATATTTCTAAGTTAAGAATGTTTTGAATGGCAAAAGGCCTCAGGGATTAATGGGAAGAGGACATATTTGTAAATATAGATAATAATCCATTTAGAAAATAATGGGTTTGGGGATCAAGAGCATCAAGTCTTAACCAAATTGCCACATATATTAGCTGTATTGCTCTGGACAAATCAATTCTCCTC